CCAACCAGCGGAGACAGAGGCCTGGCCATGAGCAAATTGTAAGTCTTAAGTGGAACAAAGTGCAGTATGTCACACAAGTAAGGCGCCAGACCTTGGTTTCCCACATGTCACTATGAGCCGAGTAAGATGCGGCTTGTGAGTCCCAATCCTCCAACTTTTCACGGACAACGCCAATGGGCTTTGCTGCTTCTTGGCCCTTGCATTGGGAGCCAAACAATCCCCACAAACTACACGTTGTGCAAAACACCAGGCAGGGCACGCTCATCACCCGTGCATATTGCGTGCTCATCGTCCTGGGACACCAGAATGTCCGCGTTGAACACATGAGATTGAGCTGATTAAGCCGTGTGGCTCATCTGGTGTAAATGAGGTTTCAAACGGCTGTATAAGGTTGCCGGCATAGTAAAGTTTGGTATCAGGGGTGCTGCAACGGGCATGAATTGTGGTAGCAGAAACAAATTCCTAAGCAGTGGCCGTGCTCCACCAGTAGGGACAGAAAACCTCAACAAAGTAACACTTACCAACATGTTTTTAGAAGAGGCTGTAAGAGAATTGCAGCCTGCAGGTGAGCCGTGTTGAGGTTGCGGAGGACAGAGATGACTTCAAGATCAGCAGCATCGAAGAAGCGGTGGAGCTGGAGGACAATGACCATTCCGGCTGCGGGTTCCTGGCTGCTTGCATGGGCGGATACGGTGATGCCTAAGAGGCTTGCTACGCCTGATTCCGAAGTACAGCCTGCACAGAGGTTGCATTAATTTGTAATCAGTTATGCTGTTGTGACCAGCAGCTCAAGCAAGCACCACAGGAGTGTTCCATGCCAATGATCGAAAGAGCAGACGGCCAGAAAAAATTGGCACAGTGCACAGCCATTCGTCTACCAAAGGTTCCTAGCAGCAAAAGGATCAACTGCAATTTCAGGTCAAGTTCGCAGAGGAGGTTGTCCTCTTGGTGCAGGACTTCTCGGCACAAGTTGCACTTCTCCCTGGGCCGAACAAAGAGTCATGGAAATATCGTGTGCGAGTTTTGACTCCTTGTTGGATAGGAAATTCTTATCTCACATGCCACCCGAAATGGCACGAAGCACTTGCAGCCTTGCCGAAGATGCGGAGCAGTGCAGGACTCGGTTTGCCTCGAGAATTCTTTGCTGGAGCATAAGCTGCCAGAGAACACCTCTTGGCTGCACTTTCTGCTTCTTGGCTGGTGTTTCTGGATAAAAGCTAAGGAAGGCGGTGCCCCTTGGTTAGGTTGAAATTAAATCCTTTTCCACGGAAAAAACATAAGGCAGGTCGTTCGAGACGAGCAGTGGTTCAGCTTTCTTGGGTAGGACACATGTAAAATGCCCAGGTGGTCCTAATTATCAAGGTTGTGTAGGAGATACATAGGGATATGTTGGGTGTAAAAAGCTTTGTCTTGCCGCGCTGCTGATCTTGCTGGCCCAAGGAAAAAGACGGAGCGGCTCGGCTCAAAAAGGAGCTTTTCCCCCACCACCGCACTGTATTTATATTGGAGTCATTGTCTATACATGGGGATTGGTCTAAATTCCCTATAATACGGGGTCCTATATTTGGGTTCCCATTATAAGACGGGTCCCTATATCAATTTCCCCCATTTTGGGAACAGTATTTTGGGCCTACCCCCACATGTGTGCATAAGGGGGCCCTGATAATGAGGAGGACGATTTTTAGGTGGATTTGTTGTCATCGTAATCTTTGCGCTTCAAGACGCTGCTCGTTCGTCTTTTTCAGTCACCTGGCTGGGCTCACAGTATTCCCCCGAGCATGACAAAGCTGCGATGTGCCCCCTGCTGGGAATAAGGGAATATAATAGAGGTATGATATAGGGGAATGCATATGTTACAAGGAGAGTTTATAGGTAATGGGGACCATACAGAGGTAATATGGGGATCATATACTGTTGTCAAAGGCAGCTGCGTCGGGAGAGGATGCAAGCCTTGGAGGCGGCAGAGGGGCATAAAGAGACGCGGTGATACTGAGTGCAAGAACGTGGGGTTGCATCAGTTTAGGGGCAGCTTGCTTGCGTGAAAGGTCCCCAGAACGAACAGCATCAGACAACATCGGTTGTGCTTCATGCGTCTGGTCCGCGAGCTGAGGGTTCTCGCTGCTGGTTGGCTCACTATGGAGTCCTCAAGCATGAGTCACGGCACGGAGTGACAGCATATCCGCAATCAGGGTTTTGGTAAGACTATGTAGGCAAGCCGCTCGCAACCGTTCCATGGAGACCCCTGTGGATGCCTGGATACACAGATGAGTGCTGCATTTGCTACGAGTGCGGCCCGCAAGTAAGGGTCCTGAGCTGCAAGCACTCCATTTGCACAGACTGCTGCCGCAAGATCCGTTCAACCAGCTGCCCGATGTGCCGCAAGGAGCCTCTATCTTCTTGGGACACATTTCGCCGAACATTATGCGGGTAGACGTGAAATAGTCAAGTTTCGTTGCACAAGGCTGCTCAGATTCTAGCTTGGCCCACCAAGGATATTGAAGATGCTCTGTTGCTGGAGCTTGGGATTGTCCGAGTCCGTCGCCAGGGCGCTTACAGCTTTTACATGGCGCTTCCACTTATGGCGCGGGCTGATGGTCCAAACTTCTTCCCCACAGATCATTACCCAGCAGGCTTAAGCAGCTTGGATAGCAGCCATGGCGCCAGAAGCAGGTGAGAAAGCAAGCTTTGATTTTGGATGTGAGCGGTCGCACCAGTCGCCTGCTTGTGTTGTTGACCGCCTTGCATTTGGCTGAGGTCAGGACTTTGAGTTGTGCGTGCCTCCGTCAGTCTTGCGACTGGCCATTGAGCGTGCAAATCTGCAGATTGCTTCGGTCGACGTTTTGGTAAAGCAAGCGCAGTTTGGTGTCACGCTTTGCTGCGGCTGGAGCGCTTCCATGCTCGCTCGGCACAGAGTGATTCGAGCAGTGAACGAGCAAAACGGGGAGTGGCGATGTGCGAACATCCCATGTTATTTGTCCCTTTCTCCGGGGTGGGCTTTGGCACACAGTATCCTTTATGTTCAGTGGGACCCGGACCGCGATGTTATCTAGCTTTAGCCTCTCTTGGGCCAGTATCATAGAGTGCAAGCGGTGTTTCACTTTCCGGCGCTCACGTCATGCCGCAAGATTTAAAGGTGCTTTGGCGGGTGCGCTTCTTAGAATCCCGGAGAGTCGTGCGGAAGACAAAGGCTAGGATGGCGAACCTCTGTTACCCGCATCCGAAGCTTCATGGCTTGCATTTTTTGGAATCCTCTTTGCCCAGAGAAACCCAAGCTCTCTGGCACCTGGGCTTTGAATGCAAAGACTTCATCAGGCTTTAGAAATGATGATTGGTATTAGTATTATTACTATTAGTATTACTACTATTATTAGAATTATGATGACTGCTATTATTATTAATACTATTATCAGTAATATTGCTATTACTATTGATGGTTGTACAAGGCTGCTTGGCCTGGAGGTGCTTCAGGCCCCAAAATAATGGTGCTCATGTGAATCCAGTGACTTGCTGGATCGAACCTTTTGTAGGCTTTGCAATGAAAGCGATGCCACCAGGGCTTCATAGGTGAAGCCTTGAGGACTTGAGCCTCAAGGATTTTAAGGACAAGCACCTTTGCTAATTGTTTGGATTCCGGCCGCTCAACGAAATCAGCAGGACCCCAATCAATAGCAGATTCGAAGTACATTCCATTGGTCTCAACATTCAATCCCAAGCTCTTTGCACAAACATCTTCCGGCAGTCATGTTTGATGGCTTTGTAGACGTTCAGCCTGGCTAGGCTGGTGATGAGACGGCGAGTCTCAGCTTCCCGGGTGCCGAGAAAGAGCGGGAAGCAGCCAGGCACACTTGCACGGCTTTGCTGTTTCGTTGACTTAGTTCCAAATACCCAAAATCTGTCCAGGAAGAAGCAGGCAGCCAAGGAGGTGCTGGGGGATGCGCTGCTGACATCTTGTTAGACTTGCCGTGATGAAGCAGGCTGAGCTTGCGGAAGCAGGCAAGGAGCTGCCCTTGGAGAGGCGGAGCAGGTAGGATTTAAATGCAAGATCAGGTGAGTTCATTCTGAATGTAATATAGGGGTACTGGAAAAGAAAATGGAAACTATTATATAATAGAGGCATATAGGGGTTAAATGAGGATAATGGAAAAGAAAATGGAAACTACCAAGTCCTTGGGAAGTGGACCGCGCAGGCCCAGCATCGAGAAAAGGCTTTTTGGCGAGGGCGGCCACCGCCCAGCCAAGGTCGCACGTACGGACGACAGGCGCTCGAAGGGGGCCCTGAGCTTCATAGGGGTATAGTAAAGTACAGTCCCCCTTAAGTAGATAAAATATGGGGTATATGGGGATCTTATCGTAGTATTAGTATACCCAAAGCCATATTCTATCTACTTGAGGGGGACTATAGCGTTCAATAGAGGGTGTATAGGAGGGGTTACACAGAGTTTGTTGGTTTATATAGGTGATACAGGGCTTAGGGGGTATATTGGCTTCATAGAGGGTTTATGTAGAGGTGATTCAGGGTGTATAGGGTTCAGGGGTATATAGCACGTCAGAGAGTCCTCCTTTAAAAGGGGTATATAGGAAAATGAAAAGAACATGAAGCTACTGCACCATTTCTGGCTCGGGTGAGGGTTTAGGGCTACCCACCCTTAGCAATAATAAGTGTTCCGCAGTTCCCAAATGGTACAATATTAGAGCCATACATTATAAGGGACCGCCACATATGTATGTATGTATGTAGGTAGGTAGGTAGGTAGGTAGGTACTTATATTGGGGGGTACCTACTATGAGGGGGTTGATAAGCTGGAATGCTAGAAGCAGGGGCAATAAGCAGGTTGCACGTCGTAGCAGGCTTTACATTTGTGTAGTAGGGTGTTGAGCAAGGGAGAAGAACGTGCTAGAATGTGCTTAAGGTCAAGTGCTGCTCATTTGCTTGCGGTTGCAGAGACTGCCGCTGCGCTGTCACGGATACTTCAGGCGCAGTGGGGGTGATCGAGATAGAGAGAGGCTGGGCGACCAACCAAGACACCGTCGCTTGGACTGGTTTGTGATGCCACGTTTGTCTGGAGCACGGCGTGCAGCATGGAAATGAGGCATAAGCAAAATCGTACCTCATAGAAGATGAAGCGAATGTGGATGTGAGGCACAATCTGGAAGTTGCAAAAGTCCCAGGTTCTTCGTTGGGTGCCCGTGATGAGCGGGGCCGTGACCAGCGCTTGGAGCGAGAAAGGCCAGACCTGAAAAGCGCAGTTAATAGGGTGTGTAGCCTAGAGAGCAGCGTTCAGGGACAGATATCCAGACCGTTATCCAGAACGGGATGCATACGGCTCCCAACAACGAGCTCCGGACAGAAGCAGAATCTCGGCAAGCAGCATGGAGAAGCTTCAGCTCTGGCATCATGAGCTAGTGCAGCACGTGGCTCAGGACACAGTGGGTCCAACTCACGAAGCCATGCCTCGACTGGAAGCCAAATACCTGGCAGCACGGTCCTGAGTCTATTGGTACGTCTATGAAGAAAAATTGCTTGGCAGATGAGGCCAACCCAGGCATGACCGAAGCTACGGAGCTGGTTCGTGGCTGAGCTTCAGGCTCTCTTGCTGTTCAGTGTTGGGTGAGTGGACCTACAGATCGAGCCGCAGCTCGCAGCTACGATGTGCAGTCCGGAACAAGTGCCTGTGCTCGCAGATGAGTTGAGACAAAAGCATGGCTGGCTTGACATCTGTTGCTGCCAAGGAAGGGATCCCCCAAACGCACCCAGCCGGGAGCTGTCGGATAGAGAGGCAGCTCGTAGGCGCGAGGCGCCGCAGACCGCTTACCGCCGGGATGCCAATACGGCTGCCCACGGAAAGCCGCCAAGCACAGCACAGACCAGCAGGAGCCCAAGACAGACTGCAGTGCAACATTCTTTTGCAAGCACTGGAAAGCACGTAGTTGTGACGTTTTGTTCTCTTTTTGCTAGGCCGGGACCGGGAGGGTACACGGACGTCAAGTGGCACCCAGAACCGCGACACGCGGAATGCGGCAGCCATACCCAGACGCTTGCCTGAGCTAGCTGCTGAATGCTTTTCTTCTTTGCCTGACCAAGTGCTGTGGAATTCCCTGTGAAGTCATGCCACCCTCATGCTGAGCACGCAATGTTCTTCAGTGAGACAGGTGCAGGTAAGGGCGGGGCTGCAAGCAGCTTGGCTGCATTTTTTGCGCCAAACAAACTATAACCTTGGCGGCGTATGCTGCAAGGGCAGATTGCATGCGCTTGTTTTCGTTCTCACCGCGCTAGTTTAGTGCGCTGAAGCAAGCAGAAGAATGACATGAGGCCATGGCAGAGGCACTGGAAAAGGGTCCTGGCGCCAGAAGGACTTGGACCCGCTGGATGCCTTCATGGTTGCTTTCAAGCATTTGTTGGGCTAGATGACAGATAGGCATGTTCTTACAAAAGGCCCCGAAACAACGAATTGTCGCCTCGAAACTGTTTTTTTTTCCTGTTCAAAGTGCTTTGCTCTGAAGAGCCCCGCTGTGAGAACGCTAAAACTTGCACCGTGTCAACTCGGAAGGAAAAACATGTTTTCCTGACGAATTCCCCGGAATTTGTCATGTGATCTAATGTTCGCCCCTTCTTTGAGAACTTCTACTTCTTTTGGACAACCGAAGCTGGAAAGCCTTCCTGAACGGTGCCTGTGAATTGCCCTTGTAAAGGCTTCGGTCTCCTGATCTCTTTGTCCTGAAGATCTGAGCAGAAGCTCTAGCATCCAAACAAGCCCAAGTGGCACCACAGAAGGGAAAGCCTGACTTGTGGCCACTTCTTGCATGGTTGTAGGCAGCAGCATTCCTCCGCCTTCCTATCAACGCCGCTATTTTGGTCATTTGGATTCTTCCTTGAACCTTAGATAGGCGTGGTTACCATTTTCCTCACACAGGCTGGCATGGAGAGACATGGGGAAGCCTTTGCCACGGGCGATGTCCCAGCCGAGCCCCTGCGGCCACCGCAGCCACCACCTGCGCCACCGAGGTGGATGAAGTCAGGATAGGAATTATGCAGACTATGGGGTTTAGGCTTCAGGGGGAAAATGAACAATCAAAGGAACAATAAAGATGGAGAATACGGGGGCTGTATAGGGGTGAAGCTCATGGAATGACATCAGGTTGAATAGGGTCTCACATAAACGCCTCAACAAGTCCGCGGAACTTGCCCTGGGTTCAGTCAGGTCATCTTGACTGCACCAAAAACAACAGCACCAAAAGCCATTTGGATGGATGGTGGAATTGTGGAATAAGGGATGAGCGATGTTGCCAACAATCGATTTTCTGCCCTCAGGCAGCTTGTGTTGGGTTTGTGTGAACTGTGAGGATTGGGTGCAAACAAGATAAGATTGGAAGGATGTTGGAATTGCTGTTGCTTCTGAGGACGTGGGGATGCTATCGATCAGAGATGCCCCGGAACAACAAGAAACTAAGCCGAGACATCCGAGAGCGACAGGTGTTCACACATGTCGCCACAGTCGAACCCTTGTAATGAGATTTGGTTCTTGGTGTGGGCACAAAAAGGTTCACCGCCTCTCCATCGTGCAAGCTGCAAATGTTGAAAAGGATGGCCTTTAAATCAGATTTGGCCAGCAAATTGTCGAAATTGTTAGGCTGGGTTGCTTTGACCCACGCGAGAGGGAGGCCAGAGCAAATCACAGCTGCACAGCGAAAGGGTTGGATAACTTGTGAGCCGCATGTCTGTGGTGGTTGTCTTCCCACCTGGAAAGGGAGCCAAGCAGCAGAGGCCGCCTCTTGTGGCTCGCGCTCTCAGCGCTCTTCTTCTTCTCTTGACGTTGAAGGCCTTCAAGGAAACCTGAGGTCGGGGTGAAGCGGGGCCTTTACAGGCTGAGGCTTTCATTGCCTGGGTGCATGTACACAAGCAGGATGCACTTGTCTTCCGATGCAAATGTTCTGTCAGACAACCTCTCCTTGTTATCGGTGGCTGGAACAGGGGGAAACTAGGGTTTTGTTGGTGAATTAGCAAGCTGCGGCTTAGCTTGCAAGCTGGGCTGCTTTGGCGATGTCTGAAGTGCTTTGACGTGCGGCTTGCGTGCCTCCTCTGGATGATACATGAGTGATAGTCCCGGCAGGCCAGAAAGACATCATCGTGGGGAAGATGGCTACCGGGATGCGCGTGCTTACAGATCTGCCTCTGATCATCGTGACTACCGCGATGATGTAGGCTATCGTAGCCAACCCAGCCACCATGCGGACTACAGATCTGCCTCCGATCATCGTGACTACCGCGATGATGTAGGCTATCGCAGCCAACCCAGCCATCATGCGGACTACAGATCTGCCTCCGATCATCGTGACTACCGCGATGATGTAGGCTATCGTAGCCAACCCAGCCACCATGCGGACTATGATCGCCATCGGGGATATCCAGACCCGCGGGAAAGAAGTGGATATGGGACCTCTGATGGGTATCATGGTTCAGACAAGTTTTCTGGGCACGGCGCCATTCCTGCGCATGGCAACTTTGGATACCGTGAAGCTGGTTACAGAGGCAGTTTTCCTGCTGATGACGGCTACAGGAATCCTGAGCCAGGCCCCCGCATGGATTTCAGGACTGGCGTCCATGGGGACTACCGTGAGTACCGGAGTGGCTGTGGCCACAGCACAGGCTATGACCACAGAGCTGATGGCATAGGCTATCCTGGCCGTGTCAACCCGCAGGATCTGTAAAAAGGCGTGTTTTGTTTCCTTAGCTTTCTAACAAGGCGCAAGGCGCCCTATCCCTCGTAAAATATTCCGTTTCACTCTCCTTGTTCGATGCATCCCGCATCCATCATGCTTGATTGTGGGGGTTCAAGCCAGGAGGCTTCGGACAACTTCTGCTGTCGGCGCGTCACATTTCTTGGCATCGTTGGTCCAAAGCCCCGAGCCCTTAAAGCCTAGACCTTGAATCCTGAAAATTCATGTGAGGGATGTGCCAAGCAGCGCTCTGGACTGAAACTGACAGACAAAGCTCGCCGCATTCCGTTGCTTTCCACAACATTCCCTGGTTCAGGTCTTGCTGCACCCAGTAAACCCGCTGCTGCCCGTCCACCCCAAAAACAGCCTAACAAACCGAACTGAAATCACCTTGCCAGCCCCATGCTGGCCCATGCTGCATGGCGGCACGCAGCTACTTCGTCACGGCGCAGCCTGCCACAGCTGTGGAGTGCGTTTTGGGGCCTGTGGCAGTCACCACGCCTGGAGCGGAGGAGCCCGGAGTTAAGGTCATGCAGATGGATCTTTCATGATCTTTCATGTGTTTGATGTTGAAGGAGCTGGCAGTGGTCCGCGGAACGTGGCTCGATTGAACGTTTGCATGCACCTTCTGCTGCCTGCTTTTGCAACCGACATTTCGGGATGTGTCATTGTAACTAAATTGTAGCCTTGGAAGGACACTCGAGATCTTCCGATCTCAAGATGAGCAGCTGGCTCGAGTTTGCTCCGAGCGTGTGAATGAGCAGGCGCCTTGCCTCTGCGCACTGTCGGGAGATGTCGGGAGGCTCTGTTTGAGGCACCTCATTCCTCAAGGCGGACTTCCATCGTTTTGGACATCATCATGTCGCAGTAGTTTCTTTTCCGTTTGATTTTCCCTTGTAGATAACCCGTGCACTATACCCCAAAACAAGCCCGAAACCCCTGGTAGAAGGCGGTCTTGGCACCCAAGGTGTGCGGTCTGCTGTCCTCTTTCCAAGCCGTCAGCCAAATAGACGTGCTGATTCTTATCACGGCTGCTTGGCCTATTTGCCGCGTTCATGTGACCCTGCGACCTACCAGCAGCAGATTGGCCAGGTCTCTTTGAAGCTTGTCATCGTGCGTTCCGGGCTTACGAATTCGCCTTGATGGGCAGCAGTCCTATCTGAATGTGAAATGACGTCTGGAAAGCATTTCACGATCAGTAACCCGTCCCGTGTGCAAGGCTACGATGCCAACGCCCATGCTCTGCGACCGCTCTTTGGCTGCGATGCGCCTAGTAGTTTCCCTTTTCTTTTCCATAATCCTCATATAACCCCAATCTATTATAGTAATTTCCATTCTCTTTTCCATTATCCGTATATAACGGCCTAAACCCGAAACCCCCATATAACAGCAGTACTACAAGCGGCGCGTCGACTCCAGGGTAGCCTCCGCTGACATGGGCAATCCTGCTCTTGCTGCAACAGCGCAGGACAGTGCCCCTCCCCTGATATTAAGCCCTCCCACACCCCCCTAACATTAAATACACTCATAACGTGGTATATCATAATATTTTGGGAGTATTAAATATCAGGGGGGTGGGGGGTTTCGTATCAGGGGGAAGGGATTACTGCACTGCTGCTTTTCTGAGCCTCGGAGGATCAATGTCCACGTACTGTAGCAGTAGCATGGTCGGCTCCTGCAGGAATCTTCTAGCTGCGCCACTTCCGATGGAAAGCGCCTGGCAGTTCTTTGGAAGGATTAGCGTTCGGGTTTCACGTAGCACGATCTGAAGTCATTGGATTTGATGTATTCCAAGTGCTGCTGGCCAGCTGTCGGGCGGGTGAGGCACTCAGCTAAAACGGCGACATGCCAGGTCTACCTGTACAGCAATCTGTTGGCTATAGCAGACCTCAACGAGCTGCCTGCCGATTCACAGCCTTTTCCCATTGATTTGCACCTCGGGGGCAGGTACCACAGACATTGATGTGAAGGTTGACAACAGAAAAGCTACCTAGAAATGCTGCCACTCAGGAAGACATCGGGCCGAATGTTTTACGTACAGGTTGATGAGCCTATCATCAGCATGCAATTCTTGGAGCGCCTCGTGGCAGACGCGGCTTGCTCGATCATGTTGGTGTTTTGGGCATCCAGCTCTGCAGCAGCATGTGGGCAAACCATGAACAAACTTCAACTTGTGAATTTAGTTTGTGCAGAGTCAGGACGGAATAGTCGAGACGCTTGTGGCGCTTCAAGCTAATGGTGGCAAAGAGGAGGCATTGTCGGCGGATCTACGACGCCTCCACACTAAACATGAGAAACATTGTTGGCCTAGATTCTGAACATAGCGACTGCCACGATCCACCTGCCAATGCCTAGGTATCGTGGAGGTTCTGCTTGTTCAGTCGGTATTTAATGAACATTTGGCAATGGTAGACTAACAGTACAACACAAGCGTGCAGCGCGTCCTATACACGAAGGGCATCGCGGAGGTTTACTTTGAAATGCCTTGAAAACAGACCTGAAGCCCTGCCACTGGTAATCCAGCGGTGCTTGGTCCCTGACTCCCATCATGAATCAAAAACTTGTATCACGAGTATGGGAAGCAGTGCTTGATGGTGGGCTCATTTGATCGTGGATTAGTGGATTCCAGGGTTTCGGGAAGGCTGGGCCAAAGACGCTTTGCATCCACTCCCTGGACGTCACCAAGAAGTTTGTGCCCAAGAGCCGGAGGGGATCCGACAATGCGTAGTTGAAGCGGATGGTGTGACATGACTCCTCCTCTTTGCATGGAATTGCTCTCCCTTGTTAAGAGCTGTTTGGGTGTGCTGCGCCGAATACAGAATGCTCAGCAGGAAAGGGGGTTCATTAATGATTGGGGGGTTGGAGCAGTGTCCATCTCAATAGGGTAGTGTAAGGAATTCACAAAGTAGAAGGCAGATACAAGGCCAACCCAAACAAGGGTCGAGAAATTTCTGGGACTTCTCGGATTTCAGGCGACTCGCTGCTGCCGGGTCTGCGGGGCAAAGGCCAGTCCTCCCCCGAATGTGACATAATAGGGGGATATAGGGGTAATACAGGGATAATGGAAAAGAACATGGAAACTACTATAGTATAGTAGGGTATATATTAGGGTTATATTGGGCTTCCTTTGCATGAGTACAGCATGCTTGCGGGTTTCTTCCAGCCGCCATCGCTGGAATTAGAATTTGTTGACTTAAGATGAAATTCTAAAACGGAAGTACTTAGAAGTTTGTCCAATTATCCCTCCAGATTCCTTTTTAGTGACCAGCAGAATCCCTCTGCAATCCT